AGAGTGGGAACAGAACAGGCAGATCGATGAAGTACACTGCTGAGGGGAGCAGCGGGCGGGTCAGGAGAGGTCTGCCACACCATGTGGTCATCTCCAGGGCAGGCGGGAATCGAACTCATGCAGAAGCGGCTTTAGATTCTCAGTGCTGTGCTTTAACCCGCTGCACCACCAGGGAGGGCCTAGGAAAGCATTTTTTTAAGTAAAGTAAAACTACAAAACAATATGATAGGTCTTCCTTTGTCAGTTATAAAGTAGATGAGAAAGCAGTCTCCAGAATTCTAGAAGTATTATGCAAATATAATCATTTTAATCTACAATTAAGTGGCAGGATAAACAGCACCCAACTAGAAAGCCAGGGGCTGGGTTCTATGTGTACTCTTCCATGGTGTCACCCTAGAGATTCTCTCAATATCTGGAAGTCAGAGGCTTTATCACAAAATGAAAGGGGTAAAGAAGGAAAAAAAATGAAAGGGGTGAAGTCAGGTCATCTTAAGTATCTTTTCTGGTGTCTGGTTCTCTGTAATGCAGTTTGGGAGGGAAAGGAGATTATGGAACCTCTATTCAATATATAATACTTTCAAAGTTTCTACTTTTTTGAGTCCTGTTCTTATTTAAATGTACATATCTACATATTTTTTCTCATGCTCTTCAGCACATTTAAATGCGTTTTCCTGTTTAACAGCCTCTTCATCCTTTGCAACAAAAAAAGCTCCTCAAAGATGTATTTTTCATTTCTTGCTTTTATTCCTTTTCAACTTGCTTTTTTAATTTCTCTAAGAACTCTTCTGGTGCTGTGGAGGGCATGTTGGCCTCCATTTTGTCAGATTTACCACACTGATGCAAACCACATCTCTCTTCCTGAGCTCTCAGCTGTTGGAGAGATAAGATAGAGCTCACCTTAGCCATGCCTTCCCACAGAGAAGCTGACTAGGCCCCCTGCCACTGTGGCCTCTGCTGTCACATCTGTAACAGCATTTTGCTTGGAACCTGATTTGGCTGTAGATACTCACCCTTTAAGATCCACTTCCATGGGCCCTGCTGAAGGAAGTGGGTCTCTGATTCATTGCTCTGGTTTCACCCTTCCCACTGGCCTTGCTCATCACACCCACTTCCTGAGCATCTTGGAGCCTGAAAAGAAATAGGTGGGGAAGCCCCAGCACCATAGCTCCAGGCCCAGCCTGTACCAAGCTGTGAAGTCCCCCAGGCTCTTCAGGGTATGACAATAAAGGTCCTAAAAGATTTGAAGAAGGAAGAACAGAGTAAATCTAAAGAAGTTAGTTCTAAACATATGAAGAACACTCCAGCCCGAGGGAAGTACAAGAACTAAGGGCCTAAAGCAGGGAAGAAGCCACGAGCAAGGGAAGGAAAACTTACAGAATGTCAGGTGTAGAGTGGAGAATGGACAGAAGAGCTCAGTGAGGGAAGCAGAGAAATCAGTTCAGGAGGTCATAAAGTTGTTCCAGGAACAGAGGCAGATTGACCAGCATTGTATCGATGGAAACAGAAATACAGATGTGTTACTGACATCCAATACCACACGCTGAAGAAAGTCAAAGTCTGCCAACCCAAACTCCAGTGGTGAGGAAACAGGCCTGTGCGTGCAGTGACCACCCAGGTCAGCAGAAGGTAGCCACTCCCCTCAGAGGCGGCCTATCCAACGACAACAATTGGTCTTTCTACTTAATTGCGAACTAACACTGGCAAAAATAACCATCCAGTCTTTTGCAGCAACTTGGATGGAGCTGGAAAAGGTCATGCTTAGTGAGATAAGCCAGAAAGAGAAAGAAAAATACCGGATGGTTTCACTCATAGCAGGAGTATAATGGACCAGGCGAAAAAATAACAAAAATAATGAACAACCATAGACCAGAGACATTCTGTGGGGGTGGAGTGGGGAATGGGATCAAAAATGGGGGGGGGGGAAGGGAGGGAAATGCACAGGACTATGGTGGTGGCACAGGGGTGATTTGGTGATGGGAAACCCGCGGGGATTACAATCGAGATGGAAAAAAAAATGTGCAAAATGATGTAAAAAATAAACTTTGTAATAAATAAAATAAAATAAAATAAAAGGAAAACACACACACAAAAATAAATAACCATCCATATTTTAACCATCTACTCACAAACACTATGGTAGGCCATCTATAAGACCAACCCTAGATATCATGACCAAAGAACATAGTAACCACCAAATCTACCCAACGCATCCAGGACACCTCATCCAAGAGGAGAAGCTTTAATTGTAGTTTAGTAAAGAGAAAACTTAATCATTTTCCTCGATCCCTTGTTTAGAGAATGGCTGTAAATAATAGGGCGTGAAAACACAGAATGCTGATTTAAAAAAACAAACAAAAAAACCCCACAGAAATAAATTCAGGCAATCCTTAAGGAGAGGTTGCCCTGCCTCACAATCAGATCTGCCATGGCACTGAGTCAGACTCATTTGGACAAGGGAATAAGGACCATACAGTCAGAAAGCCATATGCCATGTCTCGTCTTGGGATAATCCAGTATTTCCCAAGAAAATAATAGAGACAGTTACCTCCTAGAAAAAGAGAGACACGTAATATGAACAGTGGCAACAAAAGGAAAAATAGAAACCTGTAGCCAAAAAAAAAGGATTTCAGGTCCATGTCAGCTGAGTGCTGTAGAGGAGAATCAGTCCTCCCTGAGGAGTTCTGTGGCTCCCTGCCATCTCTCGAGCCACTGAGAATTTGAGTGGAAAAATTCTTGGTCCTGTTGTTTATCTAGAGTATAATTTGTAGCAACCACGAAGCAGGGAGAGACTCATCCACAGCTCCTGAGCTAATGGAGACAAGTGATAACGTTTCCAGAGCTCCATTTTGGCTAATTTATCACACAGCGTGACCCACTGACAGCTACAGCTGTGTAGCATCTACCTCACACATAGCCAAAGTGGAGATTTTTAAAAGTAACATTAATCATGTGGGAAATTTTGAAAAAGCCTATGAGAAATGCCAAGTGTAGACTAGCAAGAATTTTGAGATTACTGGACTAGAGGAATGAGTAGAATGTCACTACACAGGCCTCTCTCCCTGGTGGTACAGCAGGTTAAAGCTCACCATTATGAAGCTTTCCAAAGCCACTGCAACATGAGTTGGATTCGAGGCCAGGGAGGTGACCCACATGGCGTGGCAGACCTCTCCTGACCGCCTGCTGCTCCCCTCAGCAGTGTACTTTGTCCATCTGCCTGTTCTGCTCCCCACTCTATCTCTGGTGAATCCTCTCACCACCCCTGCACCTCTGGTCTGCACCCCAGTTCTATATGCATACATAAATAAATCTTTAAAAAAAAAAAAGTCACTACACAGTGACCTTTGAATTCAGAAATTCAAAGCAAAGAAGCTTTTTATCTAAAATCTAGAATAAGATTCCTATCATTCTTGAGGATACCTACAATACAAAAACTTAGAAAAAACCCTTTCCTCATTACTCCACCTGGCCTGTCTCTACTCTAAATTGAAAGCTCTTTGACAGGAGTTTCTTATTTCATTCATCATTTCCAACTTCTAAAGTAGAGCCTCCATCTGGTAGGTCAAAATAAGTATTTATTAAATTGAAGTAGGTTCTGGTAAATGAGCCTGTCCTAACTAGGCCCACTGTAACATCCAAGCCTCTTCTTGAGAGTCCTTGGCCCTTTCAGAAAAGCAGCATCTCTAAGGGAGTGGAGAGATGCTAGGCAGATGTCCTGCTCCTACAGAAGAAGGAGTCAGCTTTGAGCCAGGCCACAGAGGAGAGGAGCAGGAGTGGGCCAATCCTGATGCCACTTACTCTCTCAGGCTCAGCCCATGACATGGCCCCTCAGTCTCCATCCCTCCATAAAAATGTCCTCTAAGGGCAAAGCCACCTATGTTCCCAAACACGAGAGAGAGGTAAGAAAGCACAAGTTCTGGGCCCTCCCTGGTGGCTCAGCGGGTTAAAGTACAGCACTAAGAAGCTTAAGTCACTTCTGCATGAGTTTGATCCCAGCCTGCCCCGGAGGTGACCACATGGCACGGCAGACCTCTCCTGACCCGCCCGCTGCTCCCCTCAGCAGTGTACTTTGTCGATCTGCCTGTTCTGCTCCCCACTCTGTCCCTGGTGAATCCTCTCACCCTCGCATCTCTGGCCTGTATACCCCAGTTCTGTATGAATAAATAAATAAATCTTAAAAAAAAAAAAAAGAAAGAAAGCACAAGTTCTGTTCCAGTCCTACCCCTGCTTGGCAGGACAATCTGCTCTCTGGGCTACTATATTCCCCTAAGTGAAGAGAGTATCTCTCTTCTCTGTAGTGCTCTGGATTTATAGATAGGGAGACTTACCTACTTCTGAGCTGTCATGTATGGTTCTTTTAAAATTGCTTTCCAGGCGTGGTAAGAGTTTTCACTTAGCGTCTTTAAAAAAACAACCAGGTTTGCAAAATATTCTGATAAAATGTTTACAATTAGATGCACTTGTGAATGCAATACAATTACAGCACTGAAGCAAGATGATTTCCCCACTATTCAACAATAGTGGGAAATAATTAAATGCTTCCTATAAGACTGAAAGGTACGGTTTTATATCTCAAAATGCAAGTGTTTTAACAGAACTAAAACAGATTGTTACCCCTTGGAGTCTACTACACATGTTAAATTATTATTATTCTGATTATCACACCATGATTATAATGTATTCCATTTAGCACCATAGATTGTATTTGCTAAGTAGTCCTAGATAATTTATTACTTATCCACTCAATGGTTCTTACACAGCACCAGAGCAAAAGTTAAGGACAAAATGTAAGCCTTTAGTCTAAATAGATTTAATTTTCAGTACTCAAAGCTGAGCCTTATTCTGCCTGCACAGAGCTGGTTTGGTATAATTCCTTTTGTCACAATGTCCCCAGATAATAATTCTTTAATTGCTTCATAGATGGGAATATTAATCATGGGGCAACCTTCAGTAAGGCCAAAATTATGGTGTTTCTTATCCCCAAAAGTTAATAGGAGGAAAAGATTATTCTGCCCTTCCTTTCTTCTGTCTCAGTACACAGCTTGTGTAGTGCCAGTCAATGTCCTGTAATGACTATATTTAAGCAAATGTTGCATCTACCCCCAGGAATTCTGAGTTCCTCAAGGAAGGAACTTAGATTCATCTCTGGAATTTACACCAAATCTAGATCCTGCAACTGAAAGAGCTTGACTATATATAAACACAGCCCATTTAGGTACATTCAGGACCTGCTTTGACCATTGTTTCACACTTCTGGTTTGTTTTTTTTGGTTTGTTTGTTTTGTTTGTTTTTTTAAGATTTATTTATTTGTGCATACAGAACTGGGATATAGGCCAGAGGCACAAGGCCAGTGAGAAGATTCACCAGAGACAGAGTGGGGAGCAGAACAGGCAGACTGACGAAGTACACTGCTGAGGGGAGCAGTGAGCGGGTCAGGAGAGGTCTGTCACTCCTCACACTTCTGTTTTATTGTGTGACAACAGATCAGTTGGTCAGTTGATCAATAGGTTAGTTTGGGAGAAAGGGTGGGGTTGCAGAAAGTTAATCACCCACTGCATGACCGATTCTATACTGTGCACTGGACATGCAGAATTCAAGATGTTTCTTTCCCTCCAGCTAGTCCTAGTACTTAGGGGGAGATGAACCTACAATAATATATGCACAAAGCAAACCATGAAGTGATGTGACAGAGGTTCAAAGAGTGTGTCTGCCTACTTATACCAACCAGAATGACTCTTGGTTTGACAAGTGTGTGCACAGCTCCCTTCACTACCCTAGTGTGACACTGGAGAACCCCTTTGTGAGCCTATCCATTCTGAAGATGCTTAAGTCCTCTAGAGTGAGAAGTTCATTCATAGAGCAGGAGAGCAAATCTGTTTGCAAATTGGGGTCAAGAGGCCTCCCAAGTTTATTGTGAATGTAAGATGGGTGCCACACATAGACAATTTTTAAGCAGAGCTATTTCCAGAGTTCTTGGCTAAACATGGAGAGAAACAGTTTGATCTGCACTAAGTTTAAGCTGGGAAAATAAGAGATGAGACCGAATTTTTTTTAAAG